CACATTTCCTCTTCTCACACCTGCATCAGCCCCAGGGGCCTCCCAGGTTGGCTAGGAGAGGGTCCCAACGGGTCCTGTAACCGGGGAGCTGGCCCTGGAGGCCTCTGGGGTTGCACGAGCTGTTCCCTCCATGCTACAGACTCTGACAAGGAGCCTCATCACGGCTCATGAGGGAGAAGGGGGAGGGGATGCTCTCTGGGCCTCGACCGTCACTGTGTTCTCCATCTCCTAGACCCATCTGGAGGACTGGCTTCCTGCTTGGGAGTAACTGGCTGTGTGATCTTGAGCAAGTCACTCACCCTCTCTGGGCCTGCGCAGTGACCTGCTTGGCAGCCTAAATTCTGGAAGTGCTCTCCCTGGAGGGGGCTGCTGCTCCCTCTGGGTGGCCCCCCCAACCTCCAGGAGCCTAAGAGAGGCTCAGACAGGACCTTCCCAGTAGGAGGGCACCATGGATGCATTCCTGTTGCCCAGAGAAGGGATACAGGCTTGGGAGATGCTGGAACTAGTCGCCACCTGTCACTCCAGCCTGCCAGTTTGGTAGCGCCAGGCACAGCCAAGCTTCGGCCTGGGGACAGCAGTTGTGGTTAGTGTCAGCCTGGCGTGCATCTGTGTCCCATCTACAGAATGGGCAAAGGGCAGCCAGAGTCTCCCCTGGCAGTCCAGGGGGAGGAACCTGGGGGACACCAGACGATCAGAAAGTAGCCCTCACCTCTGCCCCCCGCCACGGGCATCCAAGGAAGAATCTGGAAGTGCCTGAGAAGTGACATTGTGTCCCATCTCTCTGCAGCTCTGGGGACAGTGGGGATAATTAGGTGAGGCAAAGGCAGGGTGGTCACATGACCCCAGGGAAGTTGTGGCCTGGCGGGGGTTGGGGGGGGCAAAAAGCATTTCCCAGACCTATCCCTCTCTGCTGCTGGGAGCTGACCCTTTGCCCCCAAGGCCCCTGAGGGTTCCTGGCCCAGCTGCTGTGCCTACCTGGGCCACCCCTTAGGCTTGGCTTCCCCTTTGTGAGATCCTGATTTGCTTGTGGTGGGGACAGCTCGAGAAAAAGGAAACAGCATGTGGTGTGGCAAGAAGGGTCCCGAAAATACAGCGCAGAGGCTGTGCAGAGCGTACCCCGTTGTCCCTTGCCTACCTCTAGCCCTTCCCCTGCCCTCAGCCTGACCTGGGATACCACTGTCTGACATCACGGGGTTCAGGGGTTCAGGGTCACAGCAGCCCCCCTCCACATAGGGCAGCTCCAGTTTCCAGTCCACACTCTGGACTTCAAAGAGGACCTGGCCCCCTGTGGGGATCCGTGCAAATAGCCCAGCAGCGGGAGGGGAGCAGGCACCGGCTGAACAAACAGCAGCCCCCAGGGGACGGGGCCTGGCCTCTGCCTGGGGTCTGAGCTGCTTCTGTGGCCGGCACCTGGGGCATTTGGTGCCAGCGGTGGGTGTGGGGCCGGGCCGTGTGTACATACCACACCGCGCCTTGCATACGCCACACGTGGGTGTTCCCGGTGTTGCCAGGCCGGGTGTGTGTGGCGCCAGCGCTTCCCCGTGGGCAGGCTGACAACCTGGCAGGGCGAGGGTCGCCCAACCCACCCACTGCCTGAGCTTGCACAGCTCACCAGCGCAGAAGGGTTTTTACAGTTTACATTCACATTTTTAAGTAGTTGGGAAAAAAAGACTATCTCATGACCCCGGAAAATGGTATGAAATTCAGCTCAGTCCCACAAGTGCCATCAGAGCTCAGTCTCGTTCACTCATGGCCTATGGTCTGTGGCTGCTTCCGCCAGCAGTTACAACAGAGAACTCAGGGCCCAGAGCTGAAGTAGTTACTCTCTGACTGCACTGCCAGCTCCTCTGTGAGGGCACCAGTATAGCGGGGGCACGCTGCTACCTCCCCTCCCCCCCAAATGAGAGTTCAACTTTGATGAACTTACCGAGAATTTTACAACTAGAAAATCTACGTGAAGTGTTCATTTCAGGACATACAGGAGAGTTTTGGGTTTTACAGTTTTATATTGTTTTTAGTGTTGTGTGTGTGTGTGTGTCTGTGTCTTACTTTTTTCAAGAGTTGAGATCTGCTGCTCATCTCTCCTGTACCGGCAGAGTTAGGCACATGCCAGGCACATGGTGGATGACTGCTCAAGGCTGGTGGGATTAAAATCACCGACTTGGTTCTCTCCATCAGAGGGACAACCCTGCTGCAGGTGATGTTCTCACGCCCATTTCATAAATGTGGAAACTGAGGCCTGGAGAGGTAAGGACACCGCCTGGGCCATCACAGTGAGAACGAGCTGTCCTTTCTTGACACTGTACTGCCCCCGGGAGCAGAGGGGGACGCAGTATGGAGTGTCTAGTGGGAAGCTTCTAGCCTCCTCCCTCCTGCAGTTTCCTGGCATCCAGGTCTACTCTCCCCCAGCCCCATGGGTTTCCAGTCCTCAGCTCCCACTGGGGGGTCTTGGCAGGCCCTCAGGAGTCCAATGGGAAATGAGTGTTTTTTCCCTTTGCCGGCAAATAGGCAAGTGTGGAGTGAGTAGCTCAGGGGAGGGTGAAGGGGGTGGCTGAAGCTGAACTGGGCGATCTAGGGAGGCTGAACCATAAAGATGGTACCATGGGGAGTTAGGAACCTGCTGAAAGGGAGGGGTAGAGGGAGTGTGGAGAGCAAGGAACCCAAGTGGGCATGCTAGGAAGAGCAAAGGGAGGCAAGGTGGTCAGTGTGGTGGTCTTGGGTAGGGCTGCCCCAGCTCCGAAGGGCCCCCCAAGCTGGGCACCACCCAGCACTATCCCAACCTGCAGGATGGCGAATGTGAAACCAAGGAGGGCCCCCACCTCCTTCTGCTATTGGACCCCTGCCTTCCACCAGAGAAGATCTGGGATAAACCAGAGGGGCTGGAGGAAGCCTAACCTCCTCAGCCCGCTCTCGGGGACGCACGCCTCTCTGGGAGAAGGCGCACGGGCGCGGTGAGGACATCTACGCTTATGATATACTCCAAAGCCCTTTTCAGGACTGCCTAAGCCTGTATGTCAGGCCCCCACTCCAAATTCACCTTGCACTGCCTTCCCTTTGTTCATTGCACTCAAACACAACAGACTTGAATGTACTCTGCTATTTTCCACCACAGGGCCTTTGCACTGGCTGCTCCTCTGCTTGGAACTCCATTCCACCCTCCAGCAGCCTTCAGATCTGGGTTTAAACATCACTTCCTTGAATGAGCCTCCCATGACCACCCCCAGGCCAGGTGTGGTTCATGTTCTCTGACGTGTGGTTATGTGTCTTCTTGCTCCCTAGCTACACCAGGACTCCCGGCGTACCCCTGGGGGAGGACTCTACTATGGCCCCATCTGTCTTGCCCTTTGTAGTATCTTTGCACAGGATCTGACACTCAGCGCGGGGTTAACAGGAGGTGATGTGATGGCGCGCGTGAGTGACAGACACCTCCCATGAGTACAGTCAATGCCCAGAGTTATGAAAACATAGATGGACAGAGAAGTACCATCAACAAACCATTTGTTTCAAATTTGCTCAAGCTTCCACCCTTGGTGACATCTCTGTAGGGGCCAGCAATAGTCGAGAGCAGAGCTATCGGCTAGATCTTTCTGCATGGATGGCAATGTTCTGGTTCTACCCTGTCCAGTGTGGTAGCCAGAAACACAGGTGGCCACAGAGCACCTGAATGTGGCTGGAGGGACTATGGAACTGAACTGTACATTTTACTTAAATTTTAACGTAGATGTAAATAGCCACATGGAGTCAGTGGCTACCATACTGGATAGCACTGCTCTGGAGAGAAGGAAAGTGTTCTGCCCCAGATTTGGGGGGCTCCCCAAATCCCCATCATCGGACATGCCAAGGACTTTCTGGCAGCTTCCATGAGACTGGGCCTCATCCTCCCCCACTGCCCACCATGCTTGCCACAGAGACCACTAGTCAACAACGACTCTGGGGGGTGTCCAAACCCCAGAACAAAAGTGCTGAGCATGGACCTCACCATATTTAACACCGTCCTCACCTATCGCACAACCACCATCATTCTCTACACACCACCATCGCATCACCACACCCCCAAGGCCGCAACGATCAGCAGCACCCCCAACTGCCAAACTCCAGAACAAAAGTGCTGAGCATGGACCTCACCATGTTTAACACCGTCCTCACCTATCACACAACCACCATCACTCTCTACATCACCACTGTCGCATCACCACACCCCCAAGGCCTCAACGATCAGCAGCACCCCCAACTAATCCCAGTCAGTACCACCACCGACAAGTCACCACTGACACTTTCCATCATCACCACCCCGCCCCCACCATCAACACCACCGACACCCCACCCCCGTCTTTAGCACCCCCACACACCACCCCAACACCACCGACACTTGGAGTCAGTATTGGATGCCATGGAGAGCTCTGGCTCTGGAATTCAAGGGCCTGGACTTGAATCCCAGCTCTGAGTTTAAAACACTCAGCTGCTGGGAGACTCAGCTTCTTCATCTGTGAAACGGGGCTAGTCACAACCATGCAATAAAAAGCCAGGTTGCCAGGGACTGCTAGGAGAAAATCAAAGGAGGAAGTGCACGGAAAACCCTTGGAGTAAGGTAAGCGAGGGCTAAGGCTTTTCCGGCTCCTGGGCTGAGCGGGCGCACTTTCAGCCAATCCTTTCCCATCTGCGAGAGGCCCTGATCCGCCCGTTGTACAGATGAGGAAACTGAGGATTGGAGAGGGGGTGAATCTTGCCCAGGATCCTGCATGAATAGGAGGCTGGACTGGAACTCGAGTCCTGAACTGGAGTCTAGACCAGCCCTTTCGGGAGTGGGGGCTAGAGGAGAGGGAGGCTGGCTGAAAGCAGACCGGCCTTCCTGCCATTCAGGCTCCCTCCTCAGGGAGACGGGGGGTTTCTGCACCCCACAGGAGGTGCAGGTGCAGTGGTGAGCAGGGGTGTCTGGCTGGCCAAGTCCGGGGCAAGGCGGGGCGTGGGGTTGTGGGGGTGTGTGTGCCAAGTCTGCTCACCTGTGTCCTGGCGAAACTGGTGCATGGACTGCAGGTCGATGATGTAGGGCACCAGCTGGGCATCCACCTGCCCCAGGACCACCGAGCCGCGGGCGTCCTCCTTGAGCACGTTCTCGATGTGGTGGCACACGGTGGCCGTGTAGGGCCGCCAGCGGCTGTGCTCGTTCAGCCACTCCCACACCACCACCCGGGCCACGTTCTGCGGCGGGAAGCCCAGCCCGCTCCCTGGCAGCATCACCCCCTGGCCCGGCCGAGACATGGCCGCGGCTGCCCCGGGAGCCAGGGCCCAGCGGCGGGGCCCAGCCCCGTCCTGGGCCTGGAGGCAGGCAGGGAACTTCCTCTCTCCCCAGAGGCGCGGGCCCGCAGGGCCTCCTCCAGGTCCCACTTAGTCTCGGGCGGCCCAGAGGCCTCAGCCCAGGAGCCTGGCTGGCGTCTTCAGGGACCCTCCCGCAGAGCTGTCTCAGACGAAGGGCGCTGGTCTGGGAAGGCGCTGTCTGTCTTCCGACCCGGCTAGTGTTGCTCTAAATTCCTGGGTTCCCTCGTGCAGGTGCGGGAGTCCAGGCGGCCCCCCACTCTGGGTCAGCTCTTGGCCGCTGTCCTTCCCAGCGGGGCGGGCCTGTCACCCAGGGCCGCCCGCGCCTGCCGCCCTCTGCGGCGCCCCGCGGCCCTCTGCGCCCCGGCTGCTGCGTCCTGGACCCAGAGCTTGGCTCCAGCGGGGCGCTCGCGGGCCGCGGGTCCGCCCCCCGACGGCTCCTGCAGAAGGGGGCGTCCCGGTGCCCCGCGGCCCGCTCCTCCCTGCTCCGCGGGGTCCTGGAAGGCCTGGGGGGCCGGAGCGCGCCGGGGGAGGGCGCGGCGGTGTCCCCGGCCGGCCGGCGCGGGCTGCGGCTGCGGAGCCGGGCGGGGGCCGAGAGGGGCGGGGGCCCGCGGGCACGCCCCACCCCACCCGTGCTCGAGACCTGCGGGAGACAGAGGGGAGAGGGCCCTTTAAGAGGAGAGCGCAGCACCCCCTCCCCCTTCCCGGGAGAGCGAGCGTGGAGAACAATGGGGAACCGAAGGGGGGGCAGGCAGGGGGGCTGCGGGGGGTCCCCCCGCCGCGATCCCTCGGGCCGGCCTGGAGGCAGGGCCGGGGCTGGGGACGCGGCTCCCCGAGACTCCGCGCCAGCCGCTCCTCGGCGACCCCGGCGCTTCCCCGGCCCGCGCGCGGGGGGATGCGGGGCGCAGGGATGCGCCGGCGGGCGCGGATGCGCGGCTCTGCGGCCCCTCGGGGGTCGCGTCGCGGAGAGGCGGAGGGGAGCGGGACCCTCCCGCCTCCGGCCCGGGGCGAGCGCCGCCCTCGCCAGCGCAGACCTCCCCAGGGCGCGCGGCGCCCACCCCCCTCCCAGGCAGCCGGGGGTGGGGTCCCCCTGCGCCCCGCTCGCTCACCGCCTCTCCTCCGCTCGGCTCCTTCTCGGGCTCAAGCCTCGGCGCCGCCGCCTCTCGGCCCCCCCGGAGTGGGAGGGAGCCGCGGTCCCGCCTCCGCGCCCTTCCCTCCGGGCCCCGCCACCCGCCCGCAGCCGGGCTCCGCGCGCCGGACAGACCGCCCCCCCGACCGACGGCCGCGCGAGCAGGCGGCCCGGGATCCCGCGGGGGGAGGCGGCCGCGCCACGCTCGGGAGGGGGAGGGGCGGGGAAGGAAGAGGAGGAGACTCATCGCCCGAAGCGGCGCTGCCTGGCGCGGGCGCGCGAGCCCCGGCTCCCCCAAACCCTCAGCTAGGCCCTCCTGGGACCCCACGAGGTCTCCAGACCCCAAACTGGACGCCAGGCGTGGAGCGCGGCGTCGCCTGCTTGCATCCCAGTCATCTTTGAATCCCAGACACCTTTTCAGCTGTCCGTTCCAGGCCAGCGCGCAGTAGGTGCTCAATAAATGCTTGAATGAAATCCAGAGATTGTCTCAAGAAAACCTTAAAGGACTCTGTGGTCCTCTTCTTTCCGCCTCCCGCCATTCTGTCGGGCGAGGTGACACTGGCAAGGCCCGTGCCAGAACCAACATGAAATTAGAGTCTGAAGTCTACCTATGGGAAGGCAGAGGCCCAGCGAGGATAAGTGGGCCCCGGCTGGCACAGCAGCTTAGAGCAGTGTCCCGCCCAGAGCCCACTCCCCCCAGGGCCCAGGCTCCAGGTGAGGGAGCCCCTGACAACATTCTGCTTCCCAGGGGCTTGGGCCTGGAGACTGAGACCCTGGAGGAGGGTACGGGTAGGTCCTTGCCATCTCGTCTGCAGATGTCTGCAAACAGTAGGTGCTCAATAGATGCTGGGTGAGGGTTGGTGGATGGAAAGGAGGCAGGGGGTGGCAGCAGCTCAAGTGTTAATGGGGGGCTGCTCTCCCCCCCTCGCAGGCTGAACAGCTGAGGACACGCAGCTGGGCGGGGGATGGACCACCCGGGCCCGTGGTGTTTAGATTAGGGAAGATGAGGGATGAGCCCAGACACTCCAGCCTGGGCGGCCGGCGGGGGTCAGCGGTCTGCTTGGGAGGCTGCCCACAGCGGCCCACGCTCTCTTTCCTCCCAGGGCAGATGGTGACGAACTAGAGGGGTCAGGGCAGCCTGCTCAGCAGCGCTTTTCCAGAACCGAACTGCGGTGCCCCAGCCAGCTGGAGCAACCTCGCCTCCGGCCCCCGCCCCGTCCTGCCGCCTGCAGCCGGGTGGACTCTTCCAGACTGGGTCAACGTTCTGCTTGCTCGCGCCTGCCTGCGGCGGGCTACAGAGAGAGACGCCGAAGATGGGATCCAGTTGGATCACTAAGCTCCCCGTTTCAGGCCGGGGTCCGCCGACGGCGAACCCTCCTGCCCATCACAGACAAACTTACGTGTCTGTGCATCTTTCTGGGAAGAAGAGCTCCTGCTTTCTGCAGCTGCTTTTCAAAGGAGGCAGTGACCCCAAAGATTCAGCGCTGGGAGTGAACAACCTTGCTGCAGGAGATCTGGGGCCCGGGGGTGGGGAAGACGCTGGCTCAAGGTTATGAGGGACGCGAACGGCCAGTTGGAAAGAAGAATCCAAGACTCCAGGCTATTTAAGGGCTGCCTAAATGGCACCTCCTCTGGGAAGCCTTCCCTGAACTCCATCCCGTCTTTACGCTTCTTCGCCCACAATTGCTGTGACCCCCTGTCTATGATGAGCCACGTCAGGGGAATTGTCCCTGCTAGAGTGAGACAGCCTGGGGTCAGGGCTGTGTCTGATTCGCTGCTGTGTGCTGTGACTTCTACCTACTGAATAATGGTTATCGTGTCTTGGCCCGGCGTGGGCCAGTCACTTACATAATACTACTCTTCACAGCTGCCTCACACGGCAGGTAATGTTGTCCTCATTTTACAGATGGGAAAAAACTCCTGAAACTCAAAGAGGTTAAGCAGCGTGCCCGAGTTCCCATAGGGGGTCAGTGGCAGGGGTGGGATTTGAACCCCAGATTCTTTGCACCTCCCCCTGCTCCAGGTGGCCTTGGTGCTGGTTCAGGGATAACGAAAGGCATCCCGGGCTGTGGCCCCAAGGACCCCTCTCAACGAGGCTGGGACACAGGGGAGTGCACAGCTCTGCCCTCGAGGCATCCTGGGAGAAAGGGACCCCAAGGAGGGGGAAGACCTTTGTCCTTTAAGGAATCCCCCCCCCCATTTCTCTGGGGCCCTGTCTCAGATGCCAGCACAAGCCATAGAAAAAGAATCCCAGGATGTGTGCGCCCGTGCTCTGCCCTGCCGCCGGAGAGCACACCAGCAGAGTCCATCAGTGCAACGAAATTAAGTGGAGCTTGGAGCAGATGATTCCGCCTCTTGCTAGATCTCTGAGTTACACATCAAATCTGGGCCCGAGCACACTGATTTAAGCTGTGTGTGAGGCTCACGGGGATTTTCTCAGCTCTGTGATCCTCCTGATTTTAAATCCCCCCCCTGTACCTGAGCTTCATCATCTCGGCCATCTCTGTTCAATTTTCCCGGGGATTCCACGGGACACATCCCCTCGAGGTGGCGTGACTGTGTTTCTGTTACCTGCAAGCCAGGACAGCCTACCTGGTTTAATCACTGACCCCGGGGCCAGATGATCATGGGGGTCTTCAAAAGAGGATTCCTAAGAGAAAGTGCAAGGTGGGGAGTGGATGCTGAGCAGAAAGCACAGGAGGTGGGGGCACCCCGGGCCTGCTTGGAATGGTAGCCCCTTTAGTGAGGGCTCCCTAGGAGTCAGGGACTTTATGAAGCCATTCCGATGCTTCCGAGTATAGTTACAGATTTGACAGATGAGGAAACGGAGGCTCGGGAGGTCAGAATGAACACGGAGTGGCTAAGATGGAGAACGGCAGGTCTGGCGCGCCTTGAAGCCCCTGTGCTCGGGTGAGAGGTTTCTGACCCATTTGCGTGGTGGTGCCCTCTTGTCTCTGGGTGGCAGGGCAGAGGGCCCTTGCCAGCTTTCCCTCGTCTGCAGCCCCTGGGTGATCCCGAGGCCAAGGGGTGCCAGGAGGGGGGGTGGACACACTCCCCCTGGGAGCGCCTCACTGGCTCCAACTCTGAGGGCAGGACCCAGAGAGGGAACTCAGGGTCGGACATGGGGGGAGGCAGTGCGGGGCCGCTCTGGGGCTCACCCTCTAGGAGCCATCCCTGGCGGCAGGAGGCGGGAAGCGCCGAATAAAATGGGAGCAGGTGCACATCGCCCCCTGGTGGCCTATTGGCACCATTGCTCTAATATTGGCGGTAATTCATTTTTATTTGTTTATTACTTTTATTGGAGTAAAAACACATCCTATAGAAGTTGCCATTTACAGTGTACAGTTCAGCAGTGTTAAGTATAATCACACCGTTGTGCAGCCAACCTCCAGGGCTCGCTCTTCTTGTAAAACACTGTGCGCATTGCACAGAACTCCTTATTCCCTTTCGCCTCAGTGCTGGGCAATTCCCCCTCCTACTTTCTGTTTCTATGAATCTGACTTCTCTAAGAGCCTCATATAAATGGAATTGTACAGCGTTTGCATTTTTGTGGTTTGTTTATTTCACTTAGCCTAATATACTCAAAGTACACCTAAGTGGCAGCACGGGTCAGAATGTCCTTTCTTTTTAAGGCTGAGAAAGACTCCATTGTATGCACAGACCACATTGTGTTGATCCATTCATCCAGCAGCAGACACTCAGGTTGCTTCTTCCTCTTGGCTGTTGTGCCTGGTGCCGCTATGGACGCGAGTGTGCAAATACCTCTTCAAGACCCTGCTTTCTGGACTTTCCTGAATAGACCCAGATATGAAAATGCGAGCCTCATGGTGCTATGGACAGAATTTTG